ATACATCGACACCAAATTGTTGATGTAGTATCAACCTTAGATCTCAACCTGCACTAAGCCCGACCTCTGTCCCCACTTCCCGATCTCGTTCTCGAGCACCAAGCTTCCCTTCTCTCTAATTATCTTCATTAAAATCCTCCCGTCTCATCTGAGACAGCCTCGTGGAACGAACCCCTACTCGATGCTCCACCAAGGAGAAAACAACTCCCTTTCCTTCAGAGATGGGTCTCCGTCTCTGCGTTCCCACACTTTGCTATCCTCCGAGCATCGGCGAAGAAGAACTTCGTCGTTGAAACGACGTACAGATTAAATGATACCTTCGTGCGACAACAAGACTGTCTAGGCTGTTGTTGGTGTGCGCGCGACAGTGAGGTGCCCCGCCATTCTAACAACAGTCGGTAATGTCTGCCACGATTCTGCCGTATATCCACACGTATTGTTACAGCATGGCGCCACAATATCTTGTCGGCAGCCGTGTCACGACAGCGGCCACTTATTTCTCAGTCTGGCTCACCGTCAGAGCGCTACCGCCGTGCGGTTGACTCCCCAGCACAAGGTGCGGTGAACAAAGGCTCACGGGGTTCGACGACAAAGACGCGTTCCGAGGAGAACGGCTTAGTCCGCGTCTGGGCAGCCACTTTTCATTAACCTTACTGTTCGTCGGGCGCTGTCTACTGACTGGCCATCCTTCGCGTGTCCCAAACATAACTCAGGTCCTCACCTTACGTGAGGCCTCCTTACAGACAAGTACTGAAAGAGGAAGCGCGCGTACCCTGAAAGCTCCCAGTTAATTTCCTCCTCTTCGACTAGCTTCTACGCTAGCTAAGGAGAAAAGATGTTTTAAGATCGGAATGGATCCCCTAGATGACTCGAGTGCACGATGGAAGCGTGAAGGAAGAGCCGTAGTCCGGTGAAGCGACGCTTTATTGCAGCCTCAGGCGTCTGCAGGAGTCCAAGCCCAAACCTCCGCTCTCCTATTTCAAATTCAAACGTCCTCTTTTCAACCCTCATTTTAACAAAGGGTCTACACACAGGCCAATCACACGAGGGGGCTCACATCGCCACACCCAATCACAAAAACACTTTCACAAGCACTGCATTGGTGAAAATCCCGTAACGAAATACAACACGACAGGGGATAGGTTCTCCCCGTGTCGCACTCTCTCCCATGCCAGGTCGTGTATCGGCCCACCTCTGTCGGTAGCCGTTCACACGCTCGGGCGCCTTCAACTTTCTCACTAACGTCGTTTCGTAGAAGCCTTCGTAAGCACGGAGATTACACCACGTGGCCCTGTGCGCTGACCAGGTGTACACGCGACAGTGAGGCGCTCCACCATCCTAACAACAGTCGGTAATGACGTATAGCGGGGGAGAATAAGCTCATCTGCGTGCCGCCATCATGTCTCGGACAGCCCAGTAGTCACGTCCCTGCGTCATTCTCAATGGCATGCGTGTATGCCAACATTGAGTTAAAATCAGATGGTGGCGCTTGGCCTGCTTCTTGCAAGACACTCTTTCGAGTAAGCTTTTCTCTTCTAGTCTCAGACGGCGGGGACCTTGATGGCTCCGCTCGTGAACCGCGTAAACGGAGGAGTCTCCTTTCTTTCCCGTGCTCGGGTGTTTAGTGTTCGCCTTCACGGAACCGATCAGCTTTGTTAGTTGACGAGTCGGGAGCTGTCTTCACGGTCTGCATCAGCCGCATTATTTCCGCTATACACAACACGCCGGAAATTGTTGCCTTATACTAACTCCTCCCCCACAAAAAAGTTTGTTACTGAATACTCGATGTCCAGTAACGCGACACAAAAACGAAGAAAACCAAAAATTGCTCAATAATAAACTCACTTTCAGTGCGTGCAGATGCGTGAACTGATTTTCCTCTTAAACTCAACCGGAGAACTTTAGCGTTCTTTTGCGAAATAGACGCAGCGATATATATACAGATTGCGCGAACAGTCATCCGAAAGGAAACACTCTCGTAATGTACAATAATGAAGAACACACTCTGAATAAAGTCTACCGTGCCAGTCAGTTCACATTGGCTTGAAAGAAGGCACGTGCACCGTGCGTAGTCCAGCGGCATATTGTCTTCTAAATTGACAACACCACATGGTCATTGTCCTAACACGGGAGACCCACGCCATGCGCCGTCCAGGCTCGCATGACTTACTCAAAGAGAGCGACGGACCCAGTGGTATAGGTATACCTAAGTCTCAACGGATCACACCAAGAAAAAGAATTGATAATGAACTTACTTGACAAAGGCTACCCTATTTTATCTACAAATCTATTCCTACACAACACATCTACTACACCTAAAAACAGTTTTACCACTTAGAGGCAAGGTCGCATCTCAACAACAAAAACAAAACAAAAATGCCTGGTATAACAAACAAGACATTTTCACATCACGCTGGAATGAGTAGTCTCTTCGATCCACTTAACATCCCGCATAACACGTAAACGTGCGATGCAAACTCCTGTACAGTCATTGAATTCACCAAAACTACTTCGGTGGCTACACAACAGCAACAACAACAACAACAACAACAACAACAACGACGACGACGACGACGAAAAAAAAACTCAACCATATGAAACAGACAAAACATCACCTTTCGCCTAAACAGCCACAATCACTGATTCCAATGATAATTCGATACGCGAAAGAGCATCAGCAGCCTCACTCAGAGCTTCCTAAATACGAACAATTTTTGTTTCACATTCGCCTCTCATTCAACTATGGAGACCTCCTGTTGCGACTGGCACAGCCTCTTACTGAAGTATGTGACTGATTGTTTACATTCACCTATCGTTTGAGAGAGGCAACCTCTCATCGCCTTTTCGATGCATCCGTGGCGAAACAAAAAGCTTTGATGAAGTTGGTTGCCGTCAACTAAGAAAATAACGCCAAGACCTCTAGCTCAATGAAAGGCTGCCTTCGCCTCTAGGTTTCACGACAGCATGTTCGACACTCTGAAACCACCGTTACCGATAAATACCTGACTTTCTACTCAAATCCTTTCACAATGTCGCCGTTCGTTGGTAACATACAATACTTAAACACTAAAAAACGAAACGCAAAACTAGTTACTACAATAATTTCTGTCTATTGTGATTACCTGAAAAACTGTTTCAAAACTAAAAAAGACAACCCAGAACGAAAATTTCTATAAAAAATCCAGTAGTTAAATCCTTCCAAGAACATACGGCTCCACTTCACTCTTGAGTAGCACACGTCCTGACAACCTTTCCTTTGTAACGGGGAATACGACAGAATTAGAACCCACTCGTTCCACCGCCGAACCCCAATGCTAGCCGCTTTTTAACGCGCTTTCTCTTTTTCGTTTCTGAGAAGCTACCCCCGCAATAGTTGCCGTGCGCTAACAATTCGTCTTGGTGTGACTCTGGCACCACTGATTGGCAAGACTGTTTCCCGTCTACTTTCTACTTATGATAAAGCAACCGTCCATCAGTTACTTTGTCGTGCGATCCCTCTTTCGCCTGACACCATACACCGGCAAGTGACTCAACGCGTTCTTTTTCTATCAAGAGCATTTCCCTCGATTGAACCAAGCCGCTCACTGTCCACCTTAGTACATTCCACAGCTGAATTTACACTTTTCCACTGCGCCTGCTCAACACGTGACGCCGACTTAGTCGTTCGCGGCTCCCTTGCTCAGCCATCTTGTTTCTGCATTGTGCGCTGCACAGCATTAGCGCTAGAGCTAAAACCTTGGGACACGTGCTCTGGCTCTGCCATTGATGAATACCTCGCCGGTCTAATGCCCCGTCTTAAAAAGCTGATCTCCCTTGCATTACTCTCCTTTAGACCATTCATTGACTCTCGCCAGTGACGACGAAGCCATTCATAATCTGCGGGAGTAAGCAACACGGACACACGTGCATTCAACTGATCGGTCTCTGCGTATTGCAATTTCAGCGGCTCAGCAACGCTTCCTGGCGAGGCTGGAAGTGCGAGAGGATCCCACACTAACCGCGCGGTAACATCTAGCCCGAAAGCTTTGTTTAACCTTATTGTGCTAGTATTCTGACGCAAAATTTCAGTGGATGCTTCATTCGTTCGTACCACCATGACATCCGCATCCAAGTCAACGCGTGCAAAACAGGGCTTGCATCCCACAATAATCTCAATCTGCGAATCCCTCATCATTGTGTTTTTCATAACTTCAGAGTGTCGCGATGGTGCGTCTCGGCTTTTAGATGATCGCTCATTCTAGGAAGCTGTTGTAGCCGGCGAGCAAGGCGACGCTGGACTCAGTTGGTGGCGAAGGTTTAATGTGATAAGCAAGCGGCTCGCATGCCAATATAAGTACAGGCACATGACGTAGCCTGTGACGTCAGTACGGCGCGTCATACGTTGGCTACTACATCTCTTCCCCCTTTATTTAGCAGCATAGCCAAACGTTCGGGAGGCTTTCGAATTCTTGTGCTTCGTTGCAATTCCGGTGGCGCGACATTTTCTTGGGAGCTGGCGTCAGGCGCCTGCTGTGATGGCAGTTCCGTCACGCTGGCTCGGTCAGGTGGCGGAAGTCGTTGCTCTGGTGCAAGCCTGTCCGGCGGCGATGCGGTGTCGCTGTCGCTTTGTGACGGAGTGGAACCCGGCTGTGCCATGCGGGTTTGCTCAGGAATCCACACGCTTCTGGGAAGAGGAGCAAGGCATGTGTTAGGAACAATGTCGTCCGCATGCAGAAAGCGCTCGTGGTCTTCGATTCGGACTATGTATGTTCCTTTGCTAACTCATCGCACAACTGTTCCAACCAACGTGGATCACTCGGTCGGTTTCCTCGCACACGAACGTTGTCGCCAACCTTGAACTCCCTCCATGAAGTATGGGTTTCTTGACCCTGTCTTCGAGCTATATTTGCTTCGGCACGTTTCGCTAGCTCCGGATGCAAGATGCTCAGCCTCGTGCGTGGCCTCCATGAGAGAAACAGTTCGGCTGGCGTCTTACCGGTTGTCGAACACGGTGTGTTTCGCTAGGTGAACAGGAACTGGTCTACCCGATGTTGCATCGTCCGAGTCACTCCCGAGTTCTGCTCGTCTCGTAGCTGTTTGATGAAGCTTCGCTTGATGGTCTGGACAAACCTCTCCGCCGTGCCATTTAAGCTGGGTGGTAAGGTGGTGTCTTGGTGTGCTGCACTGCATTGGAGTTGAGAAAATTTGTGAATTCAGCAGACACAAATTGCGGCCCATTGTCAGTCACAATTCTCTCGGGAAGCCCAAATGCAACAAAAACAGTGCGGAGTTTTTCAACTGTCGCCTGTGCTGTAGTGAACTTCATGTGCAGAACATCCACCCACTTGGAGTGCGCATAGACAAGCACTAAAAACCAGTCGTTCTTGTAGTAGGCAAAATCCAGGTGAACTCTCTGCCACCTGCGGGTTGGCCATCCCCACGATAACATCGGCACGTGGGGCGCAGAGTTCTGCGTTAGTTGGCAAGTTGAACAACCTCTTACAGTTTCTTCAATGCGGTCGCTCAACTTTGGCCACCAAACATGGCTTCTTGGTAGCATTTTCATGCGAGTGATGCCTGAATGCCCTTCATGCAAAAGCGATAAGACTTCAGATTGTACCGCTTCAGGTATAACAACCTGAGTTCACCGTGTTATGCAACCACAGTCTACCGACAGTTTGTCTTTCCGCGAGAAGAATGGGGCTACGTTGTGTTCTGACACGTACGATGGCCATCCATTCAAACATACATTAGCACCTTAGACAAAACTGGGTCTTTTTGGGTTTCGTCACCGATCCTTTTCGCAGATAGTGGTACGGCTTCTACTGCTGAAAAGAAGTGAACGTAGTCGCTTTCGTCGGTGTCGTTCGGAAGCGGTAATCGCAATAACGCGTCCGCGTTTGCTACTTGGGCTCCCTTTGTGTACACCCATTTGTAGCGATATGCAGCTAGCTCTAGCATCCAGCGCTGCATGCGTGCTGCTGCCATTTGCTGAATTAGTTTTATTTGCCCCAGCAGTCCCTCCAGGGGAAGGTGATCGGAATAAATGGTGAATTCACGGCCGTAAAGATGCTTGTGAAACCGTTTAATTCCGAAAATCACAGCCAACGCTTTCTTTTCTATGTGTGCGTAGCCACTTTCGGCCTTGCTCAAAGTGCGTGACGCATAAGCTATCGGCCTTTCTTCCCCGTTCACGACATAAAACAACACTGCGCCAACCCCGTAAGGAGAGGCGTCGCAGACTAATCCAAGAGGCTTCTTTGGGTCATAGAATGTTAGCACGCTCGCTTGCGTAAGGAGGCTCTTACTCTCCGCGAAGGCTTTTTCTTCTTTTGTGGACCAGACCCACTTCTTATCCTTCTAAAGCAGTGCATACAAAGTCTTTAGCCTCGAAGACATGTTTGGCATGAACTTGGAGTAAAAAGTTATCATGCCGAGGTACGCTTTAAGCTCACTGATGTTCTTAGGTGTGGGTGTTTCCCTTATGGCTTCTACCTTCTCGACGCACGGGTGCACACCATTTTCGTCGATGATATGCCCAAGATATTTGACAGAATTCAAGAAAAACTTGCACTTTTCCTTTCTCACTTTTACGCCGTGGTCCCTGAAAGCCTGCAGGACTGCTTCCACCCGGGCCAGGCATTCGGTATGCGATGCTCCCGTGATGAGGACGTCGTCGAGGTAGCATACCACTCCCGGTAGTCCTTTCAACAGCTCGTTCATGATTGCCTGGAAAACTGCAGGTGCACTTGAGATTCCGTACGGCATTCGGACATACTGGAACAACCCCATGTGAGAGTTTATAGTCAGCAAGGGTCGCGAGTCAGGGTGCACCTTGATTTGCTGATATGCCGTTGAAAGGTCCAGAACGGTGAAAACCTTGCCCCCAGCCAGAGTCGTGAACAAATCCTCCACCGCGGGCAGTGGGTAATGGTCGGTCTTCACACATTGACTCACCGTCAATTTATAGTCTCCACGCAATCGTACTGTGCCGTCTGGCTTGTGAACAGCTACCAGCGGCGTGGCCCAGTCGCTGCGGGTTACGGGCACCAGTACGCCCTCTTTTTGCAAGTTGTCTAGCTCATGCTCGACAGGTTCACGAATGGCATACGGCACAGACCGCGCCTTGCAAAAGACTGGCATGCTTCTTTCCTTAAGCACCAGTTTTGCTTGGTAACCCTTTATCAACCCTAAACCAGGTGAAAAAACGCTGGCATACCTTGACAGGATGCTGTCGACAGACGGTTGTGCGTGCACCTCGTGAATGCTGTTTAGGTCCATTCTGAGGTTCGCAATGCAGTCGCGGCCTAGGAGTGCTGGCTTCTCTCCTGGTACCACGATGATTGGCAGGACTTTCCGCTGTCCCTTATAATCGACCAAAACCTTCGCTTGGCCTTTCACTTGTAGCGTCGCTTCGCCGTAAGTCTTGAGCTTCATCTCGCACTTCGAAAGCTGCGGCGGCTGCTTTAGCTGCCGGTAAACGCATTCCGGAACGAGTGATACGGCTGCGCCCGTATATACTTGCATCTTCACAAGCTGGCCGGCTATCTGTACTTCAACTTCATAAGGTTGTTCCGTGCCCACCAGATACACACCGTGCAGCAACAGCTCTGTGCCTCCGCTCGCTTCGTCACTCACGTTGGGGACGGTGCCAGGCGCCGGTTTCTTGCATCTGCACATGCGCGCCAAATGTCCCACGCGCTTGCAAAGATGGCATTTGATTTTACGATAATGGCAGCAACGGGCGTCATGCTCTTGACCGCATCGATAGCAGCTTTGCATTGAACTGTTCTTCGGTTTGCTGGCAAACTCCGGTTCCTTCCCTGTCTTCTTTAGAGCGTGAATGTCGGCATCCGTATTCGCAGTTGGTCGGAATCCCCTCGACTCTCGCTCCGCTAGCTCAACGCTCTTAGCAAAAACGCAGGCGATTCGAACGCCAGTTCCTTCCTCTTCAGTAAACCAGTCTGAATGGTGGAATTCCGTAACCCAGCGACGAACCGGTCCCGTAAAGCGTCGTCGAGAAACGTACCGTAGTTGCACTTGGCTGCCATGGGCTTCAGCGTGACTGCAAATGCCGCGACGGACTCCCCTTCTCCTTGGTACATCCTGTTGAATTTGAAACGCTCCGCAATGACTTGACTTGAAGGCTCGTAGTGGCCACTCAGCACTTTCACCAAGTCCTCGAACGTCGTCTCTTCAGGTTTTGCAGGTAGAAGAAGGTCCTTCAGCGTCTTGTACGCTTTCTTTCCTATGGCAGAGATGAAGGCTGACTTTTTAAGTTCTTCGTCTTGTACGCCGGCTACTTTGCAATAGTGCCCAAACCGTTCTACATACGATGCGAAATCTTCGTCTCCTTCTTCTATGAAGGCGTCAAATTCCCACATCTTCGCCATACCTTGCCTTTCGCCTTCCAGCTGTCGTTGCTCACAGGATCTGCCCCCGTCGTTCGGTGCAGCCTATCCCATCCTCGTCGCCACCTGTTGTAGCCGGCGAGCAAGGCGACGCTGGACTCAGTTGGTGGCGAAGGTTTTATGTGATAAGCAAGCGGCTCGCATGCCAATATAAGTACAGGCTCATGACGTAGCCTGTGGCGTCAGTACGGCGCGTCATACGTTGGCTGCTACAGAAGCTACACATAAAACTTCGGTTGCATTAGCAGCAGTCTCACGTGAGAGCGCGCAATCTCTCTGAAAATGGCCTTGCGGTCCACATTCATAATATACTCCTGAATTAAGGCTGAAATTAGAACTAGCAGATGGTCTGGCTGGTGACCTATAACTCAAACTTTCTGGCCCTGCATTGCGGTAGCTGCCCAGCCTGCCACTGCCGAGGCTTTCTTCAAAATCGGCAGCTACTTCCGCAATACCCCTGGGCCTCAACCAATCATTTACTTCCTTCTGAGTTACCAGCGAGCAGAGATGTCAGCTATCAGCAGCTCCTGGAGACCTTCAATTGTCTCTTCTTCTAACGTAGTAAGTGAACATGGCCTCTAGGCACGCCATCACATGACTCAATGATTCATCTGCCCCTCGTTTGATTTCCAGTAACATTCGCCAGTACTCGGTTGGAGTCATCCTCAGCTCCTTTAGCACCCTCAACGTTAAATCTGAATTCGGCATCACGCCTGCTTCTGCTTGATTGACAACGAACGTACGCATCTTGTCATTTAAGAATGGTAGCGAAATCGTGCCCTGTATTTCCTCGGGTATGCTGAATGCCACAAAAAGAGTGTTCACATTCTTGAATTAAACCGGAATCATCGGCTTATTAGGGGGCATGGGTGCTAGGACTGCTTTCAGTTCTTTCGTGTACCGTGCGATACTAGAATTCTGGTTCCGGTTTTCCGGCTCTTCCGACAAGGCACGCGAAGACTTCACTTTCTATAGCTCAAGGTTGAGCTTTACCACTTCAATCTCAAGCTGCAACTCGCGTGTGAAACTCGCGGGTCATTCATACTCTCACCTTTTATGACATCTCACTCCCAATCCACCATCTGCAAGAGTGTACGAAACAGGCCTCACCCTAAAGTCATGCGTCGCTTGAAGGCCACGTTGGCTTCAACGGCGTCCGTCTCATCGCTAACCCTTGTTGCGACGAATCCTTTTATCCGGCGGGTGCTCAACCAGACCACCCCTGTTATTATAAGAAGTCAGCCGCGCCGACTATCCCTGTTGCTCTGCTCTCGTTTGCTGAAGCGCAACGCTCTTCCGCTGCCCAACTCCTGGCTCCAACCTTGACCAGCAGGCTCGTGCTGAATTACAATGCTGCTTCTCGCAGTGCGCTGACAGGTCCCGAAGTAGCGAGCGTCTTGTGAGCTTCCCGGACTTAAGCACCTTCCTCGCTGCGGGCTCTCCACTACACGTCGACTGTGCCAGTTATTTCCCTCCTCCTTGACTAGCTTCAACACTAGCTAAGGAGAGAAGATGTTTGAGGTTCAGAAATGGTCCCCTTGATGACTCGACTGCATGGGGGCAGTGCGTAGGAAGACCCGTCGTCCGGTGAAGAGACGCTTTATTGCAGCCTCAGGCGTCTGCCGGAGTCCAAGCCCGAACCTTCGCTCTCCTATTTCAAATTCAAACGTCCTATTTTCAACCCTCGGTTGAACAAAGGGTCTCCACACAAGCCAATCACACGTCTGGGCTCCCATCGCTACACACAATTGCAAAAACACTTTCACAACAAGCCCTGCATTAGTAAAAGTCCCGTTACGAAATACAGCACGAGAGGGGATAGGTTCTCCCAGTGTCACACTCTCTCCAATGCCAGGCCGCGTATCGGCCGACCTCTCTCGGTAGCCGTTCTCACGCTCGGGCTGCTTCAACTTATTCATTACGTCACTTCGTAGAAGCCTCCATAAGCACGCCCTACTGAAACGTTCCGTATGAAATCTTACGGAAAATATATGGACTCCGTAACATTTCCTTATGTTACATACGGACAACATATGGAGTTTTATGGAAATATACGGAAGTTGTATGGCATTTACGGAACGCTTCTTATGGAGTATAAGGAAGGATAAGGAAATGGTATGGCGTATACGGAAAGCTTTTTATGGAGTATACGGAAAGATAAGGAAAATGTATGGCATATATGAAAAGCTTTTTATGGAGTATATGCAAGGATAAGGAAAGATAAGGAAACTTATGGAGCAAACAGAGAGTTCATGATTGAAGATATGGAAGGATAAGGAAAGTGTATGGAGTGTACAGAAGCTTGCATAAGGAAAATGCAGAATGTAAGGTCTTACGGAAATATACAGATTTTGTAAGGTGCTTACGAAAATGTGCAATAGTGTATGAAAGGCATGTGGATTGTTGCAAAAATGTGGAAACTCTACAGTTGTTGTCACATTTTCTGCATGAAATCCGAGCTCTATAAAGTTATAAATGAATGCACAGTGACATATATAGCACAAAAGAATAACGCAGGCTAGTCTGTGTTGTCAGTCACCGCTGTTCGCCCTTTTCCAGAATGAATACAACTTCTGCAGATGACCAGGTGCTAAAGTCTGTCACACGGAAAATGTGTCATTCACAAGGAATGACAATAACTGTCATTTTACTTGCATGCTTTCACACGAAAAGAAATCAAGCAAAAAAGCATAACTTCAAGGGCTCGTTTTTTGGTAGAAACAATAATAATGAGAACTAAATTCAATGTGAATGAACTTGTCAATATTAGTGAAATTGTTCTCATTAACATTGGCAAAGAGAAATGTCATTTTAAATTATCGACCATGAGCTTAGCTCTCCTGAGCACCGACAAAAGAAATGAAAATCTATGAAAACTAATTGCATGTAGCCTGAAAATAATTTTTTATTGATAGTATGTGCTCCTACAATATAAATACAGCTATACACAACTTGCCACAGCTTCCCGACAGAAACTAGGTAGGGGCAGAGGGAGTGGTCAGAAAAATAATTAAGTATGAGAGCACAACTGATGTGTACAAACACATAATGGTGCTTATCATTGATGCACAGATGGTCGTGTGTAGAGCTGGGTCGTTTTGAGATTTTCAAAAGCATTGTTTCAGACCACCATGCAGATTACGCTTCAATTGTAGTGCTACATAAGACACAACTTATGGACCAGCTTTAATAAATAAGAAGATTTTAGGTTAAACAAATGCTTTAAAATATATCATATCATGGCTGCATGGACGCATACAAGCTATGTAAAGCGCATAAAGTGAGGACGCATGAGCTTCTCTTGATGCTTCAGTTCTACATAGATGCTTCAACTTTGCTGCAAAGAAATTTAACCAATGTCTGTGTGTGCAACATTGTCCATTTTAAACTATCTATATGTATATATAAAATTCCTACTGCGAGTTAAGCTACGTAGCACTCCATAACTCTTCCTTTTATTAAGGGCAATTTTTAAAACAATCAACATTATTCATTTTCTGTCTCATGACTTCGTGCCCGCCATTCTTGGTTTGGCTCGATCACAATTGTGCAGCCCTTATTTTGGAGGAATCAAAAAACATCAACCAAAATTTTGGAACTGCTTCTCGGTGATATTGCCTTCCCTCAACTGCCACAGCTTGAGATGAGTCATATAGCAAGTCTCGCGCATACCTAGGGCCTACCCTTGAAGAAACTGGTCCGGCTGTGAAATGCTCAGTTTTTTCTCAAATAAATTTTTTGGTTTGAGTTTTCTCACTTCTCGAGTCCCTTCACAATCAAGCAGACCCAATGTTCCCCTTAGTCCTTAATTTTGTTATATTATGAAATAAATAAAAAAATTAATAATGAAAATAAAAATACTAATAACTGTTGCGCAAAAAACACAGTCCCACATACGTACTTGAACGCAATATTGCTTTTATTTTGTTTTAGAACCTAAGGCATTAGAAAAGATAGCAGTACAATAAAAACGTTGAAAAAAAAACAAAAAAAAATTGACTTGGCGGGACTCGAACCTGCGCCACTCAGTTGTACTCGCGTGCGTGAACTGAGTGCGTTAGCTTGCTAAGCTATTCGCGCAAGGGCGTGCACTTAGTTTAAGTTATGTATATAAATTTGCTTTTTACACGCTATGTGTTGGTATATTTATGTACGATATGCGATCGTATCTATTGTTGTGTGCATATGTTTTGGGATTGTATATACGTCACATCCATGTCTTTCAACTATAGATTGCTGCCCCGCCGCGGATGAAAACAAGTATTTTTACACCCACACACAAGCTTGAGCAGTTGAAGGTTGTTTCCCGGGGCTCTCTTGCGATTGAGTCGGCCACCACAGGGAATTAGAGTGATACGCCATTAATCCCTGCTTCTAGCTGTATTCCACTTAGTAGCTCTATCGCTTGATGACAAATCGAGCACGGATTGGATTGGATTGGATAAACTTTTATTTGGTCCTCCAAATTACAGATCACTGCGTTGCGGGCAGCTCCCACGTGGGGACTGAGATGCCAAGCTCCTCAGCCGCCTCGCGGGCTTGGTGGACAGCCCAGAGCTGATCTGCCAAGGATGAGCTGCGGATTGCCGCCTCCCATCTGGCAGAGGTGATGTGCGATAAATGAGCGAATTTGGTGCACTGCCAGAGCATGTGTTCTAATGAAGCTATTTCCCCACAATGTGGACAAAGATTACATGGATATAGGTCAGGGTACATGATGTGTAACATTTTCAAAGTAGGGTACATCCGCGTTTGCAAAAGCCTTAATGTAAGTGCTTGGGGCCGGGTTAGATTTCTGTGAGGTGGAGGGAAAATTCTTCTAGACAGGTAGAAATAATTAGTGAGCTCGTTATATGTTGTAAGAATTTCCCGGTTATCCCATTCACCGGTAGAACGCATCCCCGGGGTGGCGCGGTTGGAGCGTTCTCGCGCCGCCTCGTGTGCTGCTTCGTTGAGATTGGGAGGGGAATCGT